TTTTTTCCATCATTAGGACAAAATAGTTTTAGATTTGACTCTTGATGGAGTAAGTTAGGGGTAAGTTTCACCTTAAGCCGTAATTTTACACTTGGTCATCCAACTCATTTTACCATGCCCTTTTTACTTAATTTTGACTATTCTAAAATAAAAGGGGATTATGTAGGCTTGATTTATGGAGAATAAGTCAACTCTTGGAATTTTATTTGGGCAGGATTGGAATGATGAGAAGTGGTGAAATTTTGGGCTTATGTTCTTTAAAGAGAAAACATAGTACTTGTCATTTGAGATTTATTCATTTTATAGGAAATACTAGTTCGGTACCCGTGCGATGTACAAGCTAGTTTTATTAAGTTAAACATTTAGATTTGGATGATTGGATGATTGGAAGAACGTAAAACGCGTGTATTGGAATAAATCAAAATGTAACTTATATATTATTAAACACATTCTTGTACACAACATTATTTATTTGGTCTATTGGTACATCGTCTATCGCCACAAATTATACTACCTCCTATTCTTTTTAAATGTCATTTTGGCTTTATCAACTATTAACCAAAATAAATGTCGTTTTGGATCTTTTGTACATATTTTTCCATTATTACCCTCATTTAGTTAATAAATACACTACGTCTTTTCATGTTCTCTTCATCTTTTTTTTTTTAAAAAATATCTATCTCTATCTTCATTAATGAGGGTTATTATCGGCAAAAAAATTATTCTTAATTAGCGTGCAACTTCCCAAAACGACACTTATTATGAATAGGAGGGAGTATTAAGGTTCTCGATAGACTTAAATAAATTAATTAAATTATTTAGCAAGATATTTATGATATAATTTATACTGTTTTTATTAAGATTGCATAGCCAAATATAACGAAAATTATAAAACGTCTTTCTTGATAATCTATAGCCTTATTATTTTAAAATTATAAATTACTTAATTTAAGGAAGGGAAAAATTGTGTAAGTGTATGAAATCAATTTCAAATTTGTATTCTATTGGATTAAACAAAACCAATTTTTTTAGGATGTTCCAATTCGATTTCATTTTGAATTTCAAATTAATATTATCTAACTTTGTTTTATGTTTAAAAGAAAATCCGAACTAAAGAAAGTAGTAGCCAAATGATAAGGAATTTTTAAATTTTAATTTTCAATTTCAAATTGGGCCCGATTTCTATACAATCCGATTTTTTTTAATAAACATGATCTGTTGCAATTAGGTAAAGATACATGATATAGTATTTTGCCTAATTTGAAATTCACAATTTTACAGTAAACATGTCTTTTTTTAATAAAAAAAATGAGAGAATTTTGACATTTACAAAACTGTCATGCCGAATTTTACCTAAAGTAACTCGATTTCTATTCAATCTGATTTTTTGTAATAAATAATTGGTCTGTTGCAATTAAGAAAAGATATATGTGATAGTATTTTGCATAATTCGAAATTCCCGATTTTATGGTAATCAAAATTTTTAATAAAAAATGAGAAAAAAATTTGACTTTTGAAAAATTGTAAGCATCATTCGAAATTTACTTAAATTAAATCCACAAAACCCATGAAATTAGGGCGCATATATAGCTGATCGATTTTTTGAGAATAATTTAAAAAGAAAATTCAAAAACTGCAAAATAAAATGCAATAAATCTTGGTTGACTTTTGTTGTTAATATTTTTGGTAAATAGGTTCTCTCTTTATATATAGGTATAGATAGATATAGATATAGATATAGATATAGATTGCTTGTAACTATTTGTGCATAAAATCTGACCAAAATATAATCTTGTGAAATTGATTTTTTTTTTTATTTTTTTATTTCATTATAAAACCCATACCAATTTTAAAACTCATAAAACATAAAATAAAAAACTGGGACAATATATTTGGACGAAAATAACAGTATAAAACAATTTTAATTGGCCATTTTATTATAACTGTTGGATCCAATAAATAGCCCAATATAAGAATAAGAATATTATGAGTAAGACATAGAGCCCAAACATCCGGCCCAGTTCAGATGAAATTAAATCTATCCGAATTCATTTATATTATTGATGCAACGGCTTAAATTTGTCAACATAAATCCAATGCACCGGAAAAAGTCTATCAAATATAAAAGGCATTCCAAGTCCGATTTTTTAGGGCTTTTATTTTTCTCCGCATCCTTGCATTTATCTTACAATAATTTTTAATGTTTATGTAACTTTCATATATCATTTAGTGTAAACTATAGTTATTAGTTTTAATAATAACTATTATATGATATAATAAAATAGTATAATTATTACTCCGTTAATATAAAATGTAACGGTTTTTGTTTTAATTAACCCTAAAAAAAGTGCAATGAAATATTTTAGCATTAATTAGATATGGTGGAATAATAATAATAATAATAATAATAATAATAATAATAATAATAATAATAATAATAATAATAGAAGATTGTAACATAAAAAGATGGTAAACAATAATTAATATTATTAAATTTATTGTTAGTAATTAAATATAGAGAGAGAGATATAAATGATAAAGTTTGTAATGGTTTTTGGAGGGAAATCGAAATGAGGTTTTATTGAATGCTATTAGCCAGTAATTATATATATATAGATTCTCCACAATATTCTATTCATTAATAATACTGCATTAAAATTTAAGAATGAGGTTCAAGCCACGAAATAGTGTCTCCATATATGCCCTTTTCTTTAGTCCTCTATCTTGATGGTTTTTCAGGTTTACATTGTAATTTTCATCTGCTGGGTGTTGGTGTTGGTGTTGCACTATAATTTGACCTCAGTCTACAATTATTCGACTTTGTTTGTCTACGATTGTTAATCCTAAACTGATTATAATAGATATATTTTGTAGCTTGAACTAAAATGACAATGAGAAAGGAAAGCTGACTGAAAAAACAAGGCTGAGTAAATCATCAGTAAAATAAGATGCATTTCATGCCGATATTAGCTTTCACTATTGACTGTGAGTGGGCCTATTGGGCTGGCCCATTTAGTTTTGTCTATCCTGTAAATTAAACTAAAATGACAGCACAAATAATATTTAAGTATTTAACAACTTCTTTTTTTATTTTTTTTAATGGAATTTGAGGAGGCAAAAATGAGATGGAAAAAAAATAAATCTTGTATCCGAATGGTTTAAGAAAAAATACACAGGGTTTAAGGATACATTCGTTGTGCGGCTGTGCACTTTGATGAGATATTCTTCCGGCCATTAGAGACATGAGAATCCTTTGACATCAAACCATAGAACAACTCTAAATTCGCCTAAGCATTGGGCCCTTGTTTGTTATTTTTCCGGTCGACGGGCGATAGATGGGAGTTGGGTTAGCGGACCGCAAATCCAAACTCAAGTATCTCTCGTCAACCTTGTATTCGACTGCGTCTCATGTTAAATCCAAGATTCACGATGCGCCCCAAAAACAAGGAAGAGAAGCTCCGTTTTCTGTTCACGTACTTTGTCAACAAAATCAGGTATTCTTGGGTAATTTCAAGTAGATGAACTCCGGTCAGTATGTTCACCCCTAAAATCAGCAAACCCATTAAGGCGTTGTTGGGTTGGGTCGTACTTATGATATCGACGAGCTGATGTTGGTATGCAGCTGGGACTTTTGCGCATGGAAAAATTATATTCTTTGGAACCCCACTAGCCAAGAAGCGGTAAAGATCATGTTGTATAATTGAGTGTAATAAATATGTGGGTCCCAATCATTTATGATGGTGTGCTTGGAGATATGTTACAATATGTGAGATTGTCAAGCATACGGCTCTTCATTGCGGCTCTTCAATGCAAACTATCCAACCAATTTATTAATTGTGGTTGGTGTATAAATTATGGTGTCTTGTACCAATATAAAAGGATGGACACATGCTGAGGAGAAAGACACGGAAAGAAGAAGACACAAAGAAGAGAGAAAAATCACAATAAGGCAGAAGAAAGAAAGGGAAAGAAAAATAGAGGATATAAAAATAATATTTATATTTTTATTCCTATTATTTTAGTGCTCAATTCTCGATTCCGTTCCAGTTCGCTGGAGCTCGTAAATCTGGTGTGCTACAAATTTAGAGACGATTGCCGTTGTATCTTTGGGGAAGTTACGCCTGAACCGTTAGCAGCCACACGGGGCGTATTCTTCTTGCGGAAAGAGTTTTACTCGCCTCGGCTAAATTCTTTCTGTAATTTATTTTTTTTTTCAGGTTGTAATTTTGGTTGTAATTTGATTTTATCAGTTATAATTTTTATTTTTCAGTTCGATTGTAATTTTCTATTTTTAGATTATTTGTAAGAACTGAAAAATTACATATAAGTTCATAGGATTCCCGTGTAATTTTATAATATTTTTCTAACAATCGCAAGAAGAATATCTGTCATCCTACTGAACTGATGGCATCCAACGGAGAAGGTTCTCAACATCAGCATCCGGTCAACCCAGTTGTTAATAATCCGGTACGAGCTGTTCATGTCCCCACCGCTGAGAAGCCCGAAAAATTCAACGGGCTTGATTTCAAGAGATGGCAACAGAAGATGCGCTTTTACCAAACCACCTTGGGTTTGGATAAGTATCTGAAGGACGATCCTCCAGTAATTGATGAAAATGAAACCAATGCGGAACTACGCAATGCGTACGATGCTTGGATGCAAGGTGATTACCTTTGCTGTAACTATGTCCTAAACGGACTTAGTGATGAGTTGTACAATGTGTACAGCTCGGTTGGATCTGCCAAAGAGCTTTGGGCTGCTTTGGAGAAAAAGTACAAGACCGAGGATGCCGGGGCGAAGAAATTCGTCGTCGGTAAATTTCTTGACTTCAAGATGGTCGACTCAAAGACCGTCGTATCCCAAGTGCAAGAGTTTCAACTTATCTTGCACGATATCCATTCTGAGGGAATGTCTCTGAGCGAGTCATTCCAAGTTGCGGCTGTGATTGAGAAACTGCCACCGGGTTGGAAAGACTTTAAGAACTACCTCAAGCATAAGAGAAAGGAGATGAGTCTTGAAGACCTTGTTGTTCGTCTTCGTATTGAGGAGGACAACCGGAATTCATCTGGAAAAGCTCAGATGATGGAGGCTCGTACAAATTTGCTGGAACAAGGCAACTCGAGCAAGAGGAAGTCCCTGGACAAAGGGAAGCAGCCAGGTAAGGTTTGGAAATTTACAGGTACTTGCTACAACTGTGGAAAACCGAACCATATGGCGAAAGACTGCAAGAGGCCAAAGAAAGTTGTGCAAAAGAAAGGTAAACCGAGTGCCCTTGTGGCTGAACACGGCCCTGTGCCGGGTGAACTGACCGACTTTGATATGTCGGCTGTGGTGTTTGAAGCCAATTTGGTGGATAACCCAAGGGAGTGGTTCATCGATACTGGTGCCACTCGTCATGTGTGTTCCGATAAGGAGGTATTTTCTGAATACACTCCTGCTAAGGATCGGAAACTACACATGGCAAACTCCGCCACGGCTGATGTGGTTGGAGTAGGCACTGTGGTGCTGAAGCTGACTTCTGGAAAGGAGTTAAAGCTTAAGGATGTTCTGCATGTCCCAGACATCCGCAAGAATTTAGTCTCTGGATCTCTTCTTGTTGAGCATGGATTTAGGCTTGTGTTTGACGCTAAGAAACTTATTCTTAGTAAGTTTGGAACATTCCTTGGTCGTGGATATATCGACAAGGGTTAGTTCAAAATGAATGTAATGGCTGTGGGCCGTGTAACCGTTGCTAATGAAAATGAAAAGCCTATTTCTGTTTATACAGTTGAGTGCTGTGATTTATGGCATGTTAGATTGGGACATGTAAATCTAAATGCGATTAAACGGTTGATGAATTTAGAATTAATTCCTAATTCTAAAATTGAATCACATAAGAAATGTGAAATATGTGTTGAAGCAAAAATGGCTAAGTTGCCTTTTCACTCGGTGGAAAGGAGTACTGAACCATTAGGCTTAATCCATACTGATGTATGTGATATGAAAAGTGTGCGAACAAGAACCGGTAAAAAGTATTTTGTAACTTTTATCGATGATTGCACAAGGTTTTGCTACTTATATTTGTTAAGAAGCAAAGACGAGGCTGTGGAAGCGTTTAAAATCTATAAGACCGAAGTTGAAAATCAACTCGGCAAGAGGATTAAAATAATCCGAAGTGATAGGGGTGGGGAGTATGTAGCTCCTTTTGAACAAATATGTTCTGAATATGGCATAATTCATCAAACGACGGCCCCTTATTCTCCACAGTCGAACGGTGTTGCTGAACGCAAGAACCGTACTTTAAAAGAAATGATGAATGCCATGTTGATAAATTCAGGATTACCCCAGAACATGTGGGGGGAAGCTGTTTTGACAGCAAATCATATCCTGAATAAAATACCACCTAAAGGGAAAGATAAGACTCCTTACGAATTGTGGAAAAATCGTAAGCCGTCTTATAAATACCTGAAAGTGTGGGGGTGTTTGGCTAAGGTTTCAGTACCTGAACCAAAACAAATGCGAATCGGGCCAAAGACGGTCGATTGTGTATTTATTGGATATGCGTACAATAGTATGGCATATAGATTTCTGGTTCATAAATCAGAAAATCCAGAGGTATCTGTTGGTACCACGATTGAGTCAAGGAATGCTATATTCTTTGAGAATGTTTTTCCTATGAAGGAAAGGGCAGAATCTAGTTCTAATAAACGAACGTATGATACTGCTAGTGGTTCTGTACCAGAGGGTACTGATGAAGAACCGAGACGTAGTAAAAGGGTAAAAACGGTGAAAACGTTTGGACCTGATTTTATTACGTACATGTTGGACAATGAACCGAGTTCCATTAAGGAAGCTCTGTCCAGCCCAGATGGACCACTTTGGGAAGAAGCTATTAATAGCGAAATCGAGTCTATTATGCAGAACCATACTTGGGAGTTGGTTGATCTCCCTGATGGTTGTAAACCTTTAGGATGCAAGTGGATCCTAAAGAAGAAATATAAAGCTGATGGATCGATTGATAAGTTTAAAGCTCGATTGGTGGTCAAAGGCTTTAAACAAAAAGAAGGGTATGATTTCTTTGATACCTATTCACCAGTTACGCGTTTAGCGTCGATAAGAGTGCTTCTCTCGATTGCTGCTTTGCACAATCTTGAGATTCACCAAATGGATGTCAAGACGGCATTTTTGAATGGTGAATTGGAAGAAGAAATATACATGGAACAACCTGAAGGGTTTGTTGCACCTGGACAAGAGAGAAAGGTGTGTAGATTGATCAAATCATTGTACGGACTGAAACAAGCTCCGAAACAATGGCATTTGAAATTTGATGACGTGATGTTGTCAAATGGTTTCAAAATCAACGAATGTGATAAATGTGTTTATGTCAAGGGTACATCAAATACACTTGTGATTGTATGTCTATATGTAGACGATATGTTGATCATGGGGAGTAGCCATGAAGTGATCATGGATACGAAAGAAATGTTGAAAAGAAATTTCGACATGAAAGATATGGGTTTGGCTGATGTTATTCTTGGAATAAGAATTATCAGGACCCATGATGGAATTGTCTTGTCACAATCTCATTATGTAGAGAAAGTGCTCAAGAAATTTGATGCCTATGACGGTGCACAGTCTAGGCGTATTAGTAAAACACCCCTTGATCATAGTATAAATCTGGTAGCCAATAAAGGTCAACCAGTGGCTCAGTTGGACTATTCACGGATAATAGGGAGTCTGATGTACTTGACGAATTGTACACGACCAGACTTGGCCTATCCGGTGAGTAAGTTGAGCAGATTTACTAGCAATCCCAGTCATGAGCACTGGAATGCTTTGAGAAGGGTACTTAAGTACTTGAGGTACACCCTTGAATACGGGCTAAAATACTCTAGATATCCAGCCGTACTTGAAGGGTACTGTGATGCAAGCTGGATATCAGAATCGAGGGATTCTCACTCCACAAGCGGATATGTTTTCTGTATTGGAGGAGGAGCTGTTTCGTGGAAATCCACAAAAGAAACGTGTATAGCTCGTTCAACGATGGAATCGGAGTTCATCGCTTTAGATAAAGCTGGTGAAGAAGCCGAGTGGCTTAGAAATTTTTTATCCGATATTCCATGTTGGGATAAGACTTTGCCGCCTGTAATGATTCACTGTGATAGCCAAGCTGCTATAGGTAGGGCGCAAAGCAATTTGTATAATGGTAAGTCTAGACATATTCGTCGTAGACATAATACCGTACGTCAATTGATCTCAAATGGTGTTATTTCCATTGACTATGTGAAGTCTAAGGAAAATTTGGCTGATCCTTTGACGAAAGGATTGAATAGAGATCAATTGGTTGTTTTGATAGAGGGAATGGACTTAAAAATCCACAATGTAAAGAATGATCATAGTGGTAACCCTACCATGATGAGTGGAGATCCCACGAACTTGGTTCAAAGGGAAAACTAAGCTATGAAAGTTCAGTCTAGCACTTGGAACATATGAATGTCCAAAGCTATTCCCTAGAGCACTCCAAGTGCAAGATGACCTGTTGATTGTGGTGAGGGTAAGTCATGTGGACTTTTAATGAATCCCTAACCTTGTAAAGGTAGAGTATTAACAGGATACTCTTGATAGGGAAGTCACCTATATAAGTGTGAAGTGAGGGCCGCTTCAAATGTAAACACTTATGAATCCATTGTGTTGTCCATGGCCAAAACGGACACAACGATAGAACGGAATGGAGTTAAGACTCTATTGTGTAAATGTCATTGACTCGGTGTACACTACGGAGGAATAGTTCAAGACATCATGTCCACTAGTCCGCCAGTGCATCCGATGATGTTTACAAAGAAAGGTTCAAAGCCAAAAGCTACCTTCTCTGATGCAATAGAGTTTTGTGAGAATTGAGCACAATAGAATATATATTTAATTACACTCATGTGGGGGATTGTTGTATAATTGAGTGTAATAAATATGTGGGTCCCAATCATTTATGATGGTGTGCTTGGAGATATGTTACAATATGTGAGATTGTCAAGCATACGGCTCTTCATTGCGGCTCTTCAATGCAAACTATCCAACCAATTTATTAATTGTGGTTGGTGTATAAATTATGGTGTCTTGTACCAATATAAAAGGATGGACACATGCTGAGGAGAAAGACACGGAAAGAAGAAGACACAAAGAAGAGAGAAAAATCACAATAAGGCAGAAGAAAGAAAGGGAAAGAAAAATAGAGGATATAAAAATAATATTTATATTTTTATTCCTATTATTTTAGTGCTCAATTCTCGATTCCGTTCCAGTTCGCTGGAGCTCGTAAATCTGGTGTGCTACAGATTTAGAGACGATTGCCGTTGTATCTTTGGGGAAGTTACGCCTGAACCGTTAGCAGCCACACGGGGCGTATTCTTCTTGCGGAAAGAGTTTTACTCGCCTCGGCTAAATTCTTTCTGTAATTTATTTTTTTTTTTCAGGTTGTAATTTTGGTTGTAATTTGATTTTATCAGTTATAATTTTTATTTTTCAGTTCGATTGTAATTTTCTATTTTTAGATTATTTGTAAGAACTGAAAAATTACATATAAGTTCATAGGATTCCCGTGTAATTTTATAATATTTTTCTAACAGATCATTCCTTTTTCTCGCTACCGTAAATGTATAAAAGGTTTATCTGGCTTGGGGTTTGATCCCGCCAAGCCTCATGGCTATAAGATTCTCGATATTCTCATAGACTACTGTGATTACCAAGATTTTCCCAAGTTGAGTGCCAAACTGTACTCACGAGAAACTGATTCTTGGAGGAAAATCAAGTATCCTTACCAGCATGAGAGCATGCCAAGTGAAAAAAAATCTGTTCGTATAGGCGGCTCTTATTACTTTGGATTAAGTTCCAGGCTTAATTCAATCATCTCTGAAAAGTTTGTAAGCCTTATGGGGCAGTTTGTAAGCCTTATGGGGCATCTGTGCTGATTATGGGGCATCTGTTCGTATAGGCGGCTGCTTTACGACGCAGATTGGTGGACTTGGCCATCTGTGCTGATTATGGGGCAGTTTGTAAGCCTTATGTCGAGAGCTCTGTTCCGCTCAATGCATCAGAATAATTGGTGCTGTGCTGGTGGGGAATAAAAAACCAGTTCTCGCCTGTTTTTATTTTTATTTTTTATTATAAGTCAGGCTTGTAATTTGCCCCTACAAACTCACACTCAAATCCATGGACTCGAATCAAATCTCAATCTCAATCTCAATCAGTAAAGGATTTGAGATTTAAGACTTGTATGAAAACTGGCATTTTCAATTTACACAAGGGTTCATCCTTAGTCGATTATTTTCCGGTGCAGATGATGATACACATCGCGATATTATACCATTTGATGGAGATCCTACAGTTCACCAAAGAAACTAGTTATGGTCCTATGGTTCATCAAAGAACTCAATTTTGAAAAATGGAGGTCCTATGGTTCGCAAAAGAAAGTAGTTGTGGTCCTATAGTTCATCAAAGAAAAAATAAATAAAACACACATAATCTGTAGAACTAACTGATTCATAGGCATTAATATATGCCATAAAATTTTGCATAATTATTACTTATGCGTTAATTAAGACATGCGATTATAGTATTGTAGTATAAAATTTCGTGAATGGTGGGNAAAGTTAATAATGGGTGAAAACTGAAAAATAATGCATTTGGGCCTTTTGTGCATAAAACATTTTTTCCTCCCCAGCACGCTTTAAGAAAATTTTGGTAATACTCTGTCACAAAGCTACACACCAAAATCCACCGCTAAATGCCGTCGCCATGAAAACCGATCTCCAAAACCTTCCTCCCCTCATCCTCAAACCCTTCCTCCTCTTCGTCTTCCTCTCATCCCTCTCCTTCCTCGCCTTCCTCTCCCTCCAAACCCCGCCCAAACCCTCCGCCTCCGCCGCCGCCGCGCCAGACGACCTCCCGTCGGATCTCAAGATCCGCCCCGGATACACCTCCTACGACGCCTACCTCCAGCGCCAGCTCAACAAGACGCTCGACCCGAAGCTCCGCCGGATCTGGACCACCCGCGACTGGGACCGCAAGGTCGCCGTCTTCTCCGCTTTCTTCGACAGCCTCAAACGCCGCTCCCTCCTCGCCAACGCCTCCAAATCGCTCTGCATCGGGGCGCGGGTCGGGCAGGAGGTCGCTGCGCTGAAGCGGGTCGGGGTGTCCGATTCGGTGGGGATCGACCTGGTACCCTACCCGCCGCTCGTCCTCAAGGGCGATTTCCACCGCCAGCCGTTCGCCGACGGGACATTCGACTTCGAATTCTCGAACGTGTTCGACCACGCGCTGTACCCGCGGAGGTTCGTCGGAGAGATCGAGCGGACGCTGAGGCCCGGCGGGATCTGCGTGCTCCACGTGCTGGTGTCGAAGAGGGCGGACAAGTACTCGGCCAACGATCTGTACAGCGTGACGCCATTGGAGAAGCTGTTCAGGAGATCGGAGCTGGTGGAGCTCCGGGGTATCGATGGGTTCGGGTTGGATACAGAGGTGGTTTTCAGGAAACGAAAGGGTTAATATAATTAAATCAAAATTTTATTTTATTTTATTTTAATTTCTTTTTTTATTTTATAAATAGTGGTGATGAATTGATGATGATAATTGTATCAAAGATTTTATTTTTGTTTATTTATTTATTTTATTTTATATGTGTAGTGATTTTTCGCATTGTATTGATTATTGGGATGTTCCAAATAGGCCAGAAATGTTCATGAATCAAAACAATTTGTTTAGTTATTGGAGTTCACCTTATTTTCAATCCGTTTGCTTTTAGTTTTAGTTTAGTTTATTTGAGTTAATTAGTTTATTTGTTTGAGCTCAGCTTGTTTTCAACTAGTTTGCCATTAGGTTTTGTTGCTTTTTCAGATGAAATGAGCTCGAGTTAAAAGTAGGCCCATACGAGCCAAATCTAAGTTTATATTTGAGTAGATATATAAATGAGTCTGAGTGCAGTTTATTTATTATTACTAACTAATCAAATTAGAATCTTATCGAATTGAGCTCCAAAGACTTAATGAGCTAAAATATTAAAAAAAATAATAAATATATATATATATATATATAGATATTAGTTTTAGCGAGCTCAAATTCAATTTGTTTATCAAACGAGCTAAATCAAGTTTTTTGTTTTTGAGCGGCTCATTTGTTTTAACAGTTTTGAATATACAAGCAGATTCGTGAAGAAACTAAAGGTAGATAACTTATACACTAGATAAATTAAAGAAGAAAGTCCTAATTTCAAAATGATTTAGGGGACGCTTGTTTATAAGTTAATTCTGTCAAAAAAGTGAATTATTTGAATTTGAGATAATTGAGGTAAAATTCTACATTCATTAATTTGATAACATTTGAGGCATGTGGGGCCAGATGTCTCCTGTTGTTTGGACAATTTGGTATGACAATCCCCTGAGGGGCCCGGCCTGTTCCAATCAGTTGTGTATTTTTTTTTTTGTTTTTTTTGTGGAATTATGAATGACAATTACGAAAATGACATTTTGGTTTTTACTATTTATTTACTTATGGAAATGTCATTTGAGTTTTTACGGAAATGCCATTTGGGTTTTTAATTTTAATTGTCTACTTCTTTGGTGAGTTAATTCCGATTGCACACAACACAATGTAGAAGTGGTTGTGGACTTGTGGGTGGAGTTTATTTCCCTGCTTTGTGATGCTTCTTCAGGTGGAGTTAATTGTATATTTTAAAATGTTTCACTTTAAATGAAATTATAGAAATGTACATAAAATATGTGTATTTAAACATAGTAACATGCCGTTCTGTACAAGTCATATGTTACATAATAGTATTACAAACAACATAATTTTAATTAAAATGACAAAATAATTTTATACATAGTAGGGTTTATAATAGGGGGATTTTAAAAAATGACATTATTAAAAGATATGATGATAATAATAAAATTCAAATAATACATAGGTTATGCTGTACATTTAAATTTGAAATAATACCTCGTCAATCTGTTCATTATAATATAAATAATACTTTTACACACATAAATCCCAAAAGAAAAACATTTTTGGTTCATCATAATGTAAATTTTAAAAAGTCCGTTGCAATTATAAAATGATTCTGATATAAACAGAGAATCTGTGACGGAATTTATGTACAATTAACAAATATTATCGTTTTGTTGTTTATAGTAATATAAATAATACTGTTACCAAAAATTAGTACAAACATTTTTGGTTCATCATAATGTACCTTTTTTTTATTGAGTACAATGAAGGAGGACATGTGGCTCTAAGGTAGAACTACCCGGGAATACGACAGCTCCCTATTTTCATAATCGATCCAATCCCAATGCCCAGTAAAACAAATGTACCTGTAGCAATTACAAAATGATAAGTTTATGACCATACAATCTATGATTAATTTTTTTCGTGTAGAATCTATGATTAATTATCAAGTGGAACGTGATTTTCGACACCGCTTCACGTTGCAAATAACAAAAACACATGTCGAACGTGCCCGTTTGGTAAATGTGTATTACTCTCCATTTAAATTATAATTTATTTATTTTCAATTCAATGTGTGTTTACAACTGCCCGTTATTGCATCCTATTCCAATTAATTTTTGGCGAACATACGTGTTAGCCGAGCCGAGGGACCTAAGTCAAGTCATTCTGGACTTTGGAGGGGGTATATTTGAATTACAAATAATCGAAGGGCATGGAAAAGTGTTGATGCAAAATTGGGGTGCAGAGGCCTTTGTGGACCTTACTGACATGGTTGAAGGGTCTACATGGTGCTTCACATTAATTCCCTATTTTTGTGTTCGTTTCGAGGTTAAACGGTTGTCGTAATTTGTGTTTGTAGTTTAAGCTATGGTGACTTTGAACTAGTAGGTTGTTGTTTGTGTTCCTACATTAATTTGTGTTGATGCTATTTTGTATGTTAAGAAAACTTGGGTTGAAGGTTGTTGTTTGTTGTTTGTGTTCCTACATTAATTTGTTCCTACATTATTGGCTTGTTGTAAAATACGTACGATTCTGTCAATATTTTTTTTCTCTTTCCATTTCGAAAAAAAAAAAAATCAAATGAAATAACAACTTCATTTTACTCATTCCATTTCGAAAAAAAAAATAAATTATTTTACTCATTATCACGAGCTTCTCTTCATGCGGCAACTTCGGGAATCCCGTCGGCCCTCGTTGCGCAGGCCGAACATTAGCGAGAGTGCTTCCGTGAAAGCACGAGAAGAGGAGAAGTCGGTCACTGCGTTTTTTCGAATTTTGGAGGCTGTGACCATTTATTACATACAATTACACCCATTATAATAAATCTATATTTGGGAGCAATAAAATAATTTTTTTGGTTCATATTTTTCATCAATTTTATATTAAAATAAGTTATATTAAGCGAACGAGCCTATGTCGAACACGAATAGATCGAACAACTATTGTTCGCGAATTTTCGGTTCGTTTTTACTAGGGGTGAGCATGGTGCGGTTCGGTGCGGTTTTCGAAAATATTTATTTACCCCAAACCGAACCGTACCGAAACTGGTAGAAAAACCGAACCGAAACCGCACCGAAATTTTCGGTTCGGTTCGGTGCGGTTTCGGTTAACCGCAATTGTTTTATTCTTTTTTTTTAAAAAAAAACAGCCAAAATAAAATAAAGCTACATCATCATCATCATCTAATGAACCAAAGGCCTAAAATTTGAATTAAAAGTGAAAAAGTATGGCAAGAAATTATATTTGAATGTAATGTTTTTAAATTTTAATTGTTATTATTATTATTTATTACTTTAGTTATGTATTGTTAATGTTAGTCATCCCAAACCAAAGGCCCAAAACAAGCATTTATATGTACAATACAAACATGTTAACATATTTGGTAAAAATAAATAAAATAAAATAATAAAAAAAAAATTCGGTGCGGTTCGGTTAAAACCGCACCCTTCGGACAAAAAACCGAACCGCACCGAAATTTGTGCGATTTTTCAAAATTTTAACCGCATCGAAAATCGAACTCTAAAAAACCGAACCGAACCGCACCGAATACGTCGGTTCGGTTCGGTTTTTCGATTTCGGCTCGGTTTTGCTAACCCCTACTTTTTACAAATTAATGACGACCCTTTGGTTGGTGCTCGGTTAAAAATAAGCTAGAAAGGTGGAACAAAAACTATTCCGATGGGTCTTATCAACTCTGTGGCGTGAGGAATGGCAATGCATGTGGTCTCATTATTTTGTGATAACGTGCACAATTTTTTTATTTGTTCTTCTTTTGTCCCATGCTACGTACAGCATGCATGAGAGCAGGCTTTTTTTAATGAGTGTGCAGATGGAGGGAATGGGCTAGGGAGTAGAGGTGTTGGCTTTTTGTCACATATCATTCAATTGGTGGGGCCAAGACCACATACAACTTGTGTAAGGTCGGTCAAAAACAAGATGTGAAAAAGGGAAAAACAGTGGAGGGTGTTTTTGGCGGGACGCAACAAAAAAAAGATATTGGGTTCTATAAGAAGGGTGTGTTCCACAAACATAAAATCAAATAAATTCATCATGGTCTCTCACCCACCCTTCTGTTCATGCGGACGTGGTCGGATGACTCGTTTGATGGCTAGAACAGATAAAAATTATGGTAGGTATTTTTTTCGGTGCCCACAAGGAATCAAACACGAAGGGAGCTTTGTTTGGGATAACGATAGTAATGGTTTTTTTTCTGCGAGGGAGACTGCCGAAACATATTATAATCCGCAATCCAATTCACAAACTAGCCATCATACCACTTGTGGATCCAACTACTCAAGCACGTCACATGTGCCGCCGAACAGTGTGAATGACACACCGTCAGCCCTTGAAGATGCATGCCCATTTTTTGTTTATGGTTATTTGGTGGTCATTGGGTTCTTAATTATTGTTGCACTTGTGAAATTCATCATGATGTAATGAATCTCGAATTTTTATAACCGCCAAAGTTTTTTCTGTCGCGTATGATATTACACACAAAAATCTTATCGGATTACATTTTGAGTTTTATTCCATGTTCAACAACCAACGAACTAATTCATAATACATTTTTGCGATGATTGACGTACACAAGTACATAGGTAGATTTTTGTGTGAAAAATAATATGTATTAATGAAAAAACCGATAATATGTATTAATTTATATTATCAATGTGATTAATTGGTTGGACAACAAGCGGGAAAACTGTTACCACATACACAATATTAAATATATATTTAATTTTTGATTTATACAAAAAGATGTTATTGTATTTTGCCTAATTCAAAATTTCTGTTGAGTCCGATTTTAAGGCAACTATATAATCATATGAAAATTTTTTTATAAATTTTAAGTTCAAAATGAGAACGGATTTTTTATGCAATAAGATCTCCCTCCAATAATTTAATTATAGAAATAAATCAAAAAAAAAATAATCTTGGTGCCAATAATACAAATAAATTCTAACAAAATAAATGTTTAACAAAATAAATTTGAAGAATAATTTATTTTTTATATTTAACAAAATAAATGTTAAGAAAAAATATATTGGCAACGATTAATTCACCAACTTGATTTTGTCTGATTACTTGGAAAAAAATTTCTAACTAACCTGTTACGATTTTCCATAAATATTTTTGGATAAAACGTGAATATTTGTGAAAATAATTAATATTATGATTAGAACTTAAAATATGGTGTAATATTTATCTTAACCAAAATATTATGAACATGGATCATGAAAATGAATATTGTAATTTATTATAATGAATATAATTGAAAATATTACGAATATTAATAAATATATATTTATCTTGGCCAAGTTATTATCAACATGAATCACGAAAAATCAATCTTGTAATTTATTAGAATAAATATCAATGAAAATATTGCAGATATTAATAAATTTATTTAAATAATTTTTTTATCATATCTTATTTGATCTTATTTTGAAACGTGTATATGGAAACAATTAATACATACATACATTTAAAAAGTTTACATACATACATTTAAAATGTTTTCTAATAAATTTTTTTATATATAGACAATACTTATACAAGACCTGTTAATGCATATGAAGATACATGTGGAAACAAATGAACCTGTAATTCAAAACTTCCAACCATGTGACTAGGCATGGGTAAAAAACAATAAAAAAAAAGGCATGGGTAATGAATTATGAGCAATGAATTATGAGCAAAAAATTCTCCTACCATGTGACTAGGCATGGGTAATGCAGACTGTTGTCCACCACTTTGTATGTACAGACATGGGTTGTCACAGTATTTGCAGGCTCCTCATCCGTCCATCATCTTTTTGTACGTGTTTCTACATGATATTTCGAGTCTGCAACGGTTGAGTCCATACTTCTTTGTCCTTAATTTACAAATAAACAAATAAAAAACAACATGCAAATTTTGTACTGGTAACTGGCCGGTATACATTATTACATTTTTTTCCAATAAATTAATCACCCAAAATTAGCATATATATATACATACATGTGTTTCCTTTTATTTGTGAAATTATCACCACTGCAAGACGTGTTAATCATTTATTTGTTCTTCACAATCATGTGGGGATTATCATTGCCACATACGAAGGACGAACATTTCCGCTATATACGAGAAGGCTTCTCAAACAAATGGAATCCACTAGTTGAGGAAACATTTTGTACCATCCTCCTACATTATATCCAGTCAGAAGGGTTAAACATGGAGTTTGACGTTTATATGGCATTTGATAGAATCTACCAAACTTGCTTGGCTGAAATTGGTCAAAATTTGACTTTGCAAGAATGCTATACCACATTCATGGTATTGAAAGAAAGGTATCGAACTTTTAAATATTTTATGAAACATCCATTGGGTGTTTTCGACATACATGCAAAGACTATTTATCTTGAGGAGGACGATCGTGAGGAAGCACTTGAGGTATGCCGAAAGTGTACAACAATTCCTTTATTTGTTTCGTCTATTTATTTTTTTTAGTTTCTTATATAAATATCTTTTATTAGTAGACTGGGTAAATCTCGTAAATCATATTCTCTCAGATTTGGCCATTAGCCGAACATTATTGCAGCAGAAATCCGGAGCCTTTGTGGGAAACGTTGAAAATAATTTTCGAACCCCTACGACTTGAGCCATATCCTGGTGAAATATTAGCGAGACATGAACGTAACACTCGCAAATTGAACCAAGTCGTTAACGAGTACTGGGCGGAAGAACGACGTATGGCAGCGCGAAGAAGTAGGAGAGGAAATTGATTGTCGTCGCGTACTCGTCGAACTATGTCAATTTTTGCGTTATTTATATATTTCTAACTATGTTAAACAAATGTCGCTTCTTTTTAATAAGTTTGAAAAAGGTGGTATTACCAAATAATGTATGTTCTATATTATGTGTAATGACATATGGTGTAAAATAATTATTCGTAAACAAGATTTCCTTGTTCAAACGACATATCTATGGATGTGTTTTTTAATATTATTCCTTAATCAACTACGGTACTACATCACACGTAAGCCAACATTAGAGGTATCTAACGTTGTCCTCAGAGGTCTTGTGAAATCGTCTGCATCTGGTTCTGGTATGTAGTCCGGGTCTTGTATGGCAGGCGACACGTTAGCGAACTTTTGGTGTTCAAGGATGAAATTATGTGCAACACAACATGCGATAACTATGTCTGTCTGGAAGTCAGGCGGGTAGTTGGGCATTAGGCCTTTTATAATGGGGAACTTACCTTTTAGTATACCAAAGCTACATTCGACCACATTCCGGACCGTTGCATGACGTCGGTTAAATAGCTCCCTCGCATTTTTAGGGGTTTGGTTTGACCGAATCCACTCAGGCAGATGATATCTATCGCCACGGTAAGGTGACAAGAACCCCGGGATATTGGCATAGCCTGAGTCCACCACATAATATTTTCCTATCATTCAAAGTAGTTGTTTTATTATAACCTTAAATTAATATGGTAATGTTAATATCATTTTCCGTAAAAAAATTGTCATGCAAGATGTTCGAAACAGGAAAGAAAACACGACATACCCTCCGGTGGCCACGGGAAAGTGTTTGTGGGGTCCATCAGCGTTTCAGCAAAAATACGAGCATCATTTGCGCTGCCTTCCCATCCCGCTAAAACGAAAGTGAACTTGCAATCAAAGTCGCACGCGACCATAACGTTCTGCGACAAGTAACCTTTGCGACATCTGTATTTTCCATGGTCTTCCTCAGGTATCCAAGCTGGTATGATGGTTCCGTCGATGGCGCCGATACAATCCTGAGTTAAGATTAAAATTTTTTTTAATGCTATTATAAATGAAAATGGTTAATAAAAAAAATACAATCTTTTTTTATGCGTTTCACCTTGAAGTATGGATATAAATATCGATTCTTTCGTATCCAATCAGGAACACGATTAAAATCCGGTGGACGTATGTATTTGGGAGCCAATTTGCATAGGGCGGTGACCATGATATGTACATGATTACTAATCGTCTCTGTCGATCGATTAAATGACTCAGCAGCACGTCGATGCCTTTGGTGACCTTTTATCGTATGCAAGAACATCGCAACACTTTCTTGAATGCGGACCTTTTGTTGTCTTTCATCGCCATGGCAACCCGTTTGTTTTATTTCTTTGCAGAGCAATTTGAAAACTTTCTTGTTCATACCCATTGCATCGTGGAATCTTCGATCGTGCCCCGATAGGAGGTCATTAATCCAATCCGCTCCGGTGTACGTCGATTGCCGATACGGGATCCTTCTCGTAGGCGGATTAGATTGAAATGCTGCGTAAACATGCATAAGTTGTTGTCGTTGAAACTCGAGCATATTAGTAAATTGTTGCAAACGGGATAAATGAGACGGTTGAGCAACATCGTTAACATCTTCAACCATGTTGTCGTTTATTTCTTCACCGACATTATGTACGCCATCATCGTAATCTTGGCCATCATCAATGTGCGACATCCTACAAATAGAGAATTTGTGGGACCACCTTTTGAAAAACAACAATTACGTCTACATGAAAAACAACAATTTCTTGATAATGAAAAACAAGACAACATCAAATACCACATTCAAATAACACATAAGTCAGATAATACGATGAAGAAAAACAGTTCAAGTCACACAAGTTCGTAGAAAAAAAAAAAGACAAATCAAGTTGAAGTTCTCATAATTTCAAAGTAGCAGGCAAGCCAAATAGTTCAATGAAATCGTTAAATGGAGGCAACACAACATCAGCCCTAATTGCCATCATCTTCCATCCACATTTGTAGAAGTGCAAGCCGGTTTTCTTCAAGTTCCAGTCCAAGAAACGTGTACAGGCTCCACGGATCGCGAAACTTCCTCCAAGCTAACTTTCGAACCGCCATGGGGACATTAGGCAAGGACTCCAACGCCTTCAAAGCTTGTTGAAGGCTCTCTTGATCCTTTTCTGGACGCGCATTCTGCTGGATTATGCGGCTTGCTTCAGTAATAGAATTCATGGCCGTGTCAAAGGTGGAAGTGGTCCCTCTACGGCGACGAGTGCACCGATCACTGTCTGGTGTATTCATTGGCTCATCACTTAACTCATCAGGAAACAAATAATTCGGTGTCGCTGCCGATTTTGTTCTTCGACGCCTGCCATTTCCATCGGGTGTTTGTGTAGACGCCCTTGCACCGCTCCCAGTTGCAGTTGTGCCGTTGAAAATTGTGGTAAGCTCACGATAGTGCACACACGCCTTTTTCTTCATGTCCTTGTCCTGTGGATGACCCTATTTTTCGAAAGCAGTGGACACATAATAAGCGGATGTTCATTACAGGAAATTCCCAACCAAAAATACTACAGCAACACATAACAGTAACTATTACCAATAAATTGATATCAATTACAGAAACATAATAATAAAACTAATCTCATAATAACGCCAAAGTTGCAGTCATGTAAAAGCTTCATATCATAATTAAAACCAGAAGTATTTCATTCAAATTAAATTAAGTAACAAGAGGAAACAAATGTACATCTGCAGTAAAAGAAAAAAAAAAAAAACACTTTTTCCATAGAAACTGGGAAAAAAACACCCATTTGGAAAATACAAACCTTCATAAAGCACACTTAACCTTAAAAACTGGGAAAATAAATGGAACAAGTACACTAACCGTGATCCACTGGGCCACCGCCTGTGATCTTCCCAGTGGAAGATTCCCATCCGAATCCCGTATCTTTATTAAGCATATTGTAGAACCGACGCCAATGCTGCTTTAATCGATCATGTTTACTCGTCATTTGTGTTATCTCGTAATAATACTCAGGACCACATATATCGTTCAGTTTTTCTTGGATCTCCATCCAATTGCATTGTTTGAACTTCTGCCCGATGCACTTCCCCAGGATAACTTGGTCCAACATCAACGATATGAACCGAGCCTCATTCTCTGGAGGCCACCTGGCTTCTCCTTGTTTACTTTGCGAAGGGCCAGCTTCAGATGTGGACATCTACAAATTTTTCACGAAATACAGCTCCAAGATTGTATTGTTTAAATCCAAACATTATTAGAGTGTAACATGAACACACCACAAATATAAATCGAACAAAAGGTCAGCATACAAATAAAATTGAGCAAGACACCAGCAGCAAAATTCAAATCAGACATGTCACCCCAAACAAAACAAGTTGAACGAGACAGTAGCACAGGAATACAAATGCACGCAGTTCGCCCCTTCAAAATCTACTTCATGAACACAGCACAACCCGGCACATTTCGTCTCAAAATAAGGGAAATTGATAAAATTAACCAGTTCGCCTTCAAATAATTACGAAAGAGTCATAAGAGATGGCACGCGAAACACAAATTATCGGTGCCCAAGTTGTACGATATGTAACCCCTATTTTTTAATTAGCCGTTCCCAAATAAACCAAATCGCATATACAAAATATTTATTCGAGTAAATCTAGGGAAAATTCACCGACTTGTGTATGTTATTGAACAAAAGGATGCGGGAAGAACACATGTAAACCGATCTAACCTTTCTTCTTTTTTTCTTTTTTTTCTCGGGCGAGTTCACCGACACGCTGCCGGTGCTTTCGCTGTGCGGATCCCGCCTCTCCAGCGAAGCTTGCGGCAAACGAAAAGGTTGTATCGAAGTGGGAAGAGAAGGATTTGCAGCGGAGCTCATGTCGGGGTTGAAGGTTGATTTATTGAGGAAGGGGTGTTCATAACTTCATGTGTTCGAAGAACGAGAAGGGTAGGTGTTGCTTTTATCAGAAATGTTACTTCAATTTAATAATACAGCTCACAAATGTTAATGGGGAACAAGAACTGTATCGGGTGGGCCCGGTTTTTCAAATTGGCCAAGAGAAATAATTTATAAACAATCACACAAAATTCACAA